AATTTATTTGACCCTTGCGGTAAGTATAACTTAAACAAATCTTTCAAACCAAGTTTTTTTTTTTTTTGAAATAAAAAGTGTAACGAATATGTATTAACATGGTACCAAGAAACAAGGGGTATTACCCATTACAAAAGTTTTACAATGTAGTTAGTGTATCAATGACATACCCAAAATTCTCATCACTAATTATGTTATGTTCTAATAGAATAGACCCAAAATAATGCATCCATCTATTTTTTAATCTATACAAATCACCCTCTTTACCCTCAAAAGTCCTAGAATTTTTCTCATTCCATAGAACTCAAAAAATAGTTAATGGAATCATTTTTGAAAGCTTTCTATCAAAGTGCACACCATCCCAAGCCCTCTAACTTTTAATTTGTTAATAGTCAGTATACATTCATTACAGGCTTCCCAAGCAAAAAATGTAAATCTTGGTGGGACTTTTGTTTTCCAAATCTGCCTCATGGGAAAATAATGTATCTGTACAAGATTTTTTCTGGTGATCTGACTATAATAGGACTTCATTAAAAAACTACCGCTTTTTTCCAATTTCCAAACAACTCTATCATCCACAAGATTTATCTGTTGTGAAGCCAGCAATTGTAGTAACCTTTCATACTCACAGATTTCCTAATCTTGCAGATTTCTTGGGACATTTATCCACCACACCACACTGCCATTATACATTCTGTAAGCGTCCTGGACCAGCATGTTTATGTCTGCACAATAGTATAAATTCTCGGATATTTACTCAAGTTCTTATTCTCAATGCAGACATCATTCTAAAATTTTATTCTCTTACCCCTACAAAATTTCCACAGCAGATTGTCATGAAAACTAGGCCATTGCATCAGGAATTTTTTCCACAAACTTCTGCCATGCCGCTTCCCAGATCTCTCACCCTCTTTGTTATCCCAATTCAGATCACCCCACCTGATTGCAACTATCTTCCTCCATAATCTTTCATCTTCCATACAAAATCTCCATATCCATTTCTCCTGTGGAGCCACATTTAAATCTACCAATGACCCAATTCCCAAACTCCCATATTTGGGATGCCCTCATCATCACCCCACATAAACTTATTTTGAATGGTTTTTAATTTTTTAGCAATATTAACCGGAATGGTAAGAGTAGATTAGTAAATAGGTAAGTTGGTCATGGTGCTTTTTAGAAGAGTGAGTCTGCCTCCTTTGGACAAAAATTCCTCTTCCAACTAGCAAGTTTCCTTTCAAATAATTAAACCACTGGCTTTCAAGTAGATTTATCTTTATACTCGGCACCCAATGGCATCCCTAAATACTTAATCAGCAAAGACACTTCCTTGCATTCCATTACATCTACAAAGAGTCTACCGTTTCCTTCTCCCCTGATTCTGACTAGCTCTAACTTTTGCAGATTTATCTTTCATCCCGAGACACCTTGAAAACATAACAAAAAGGATCTTAAGTGTAATAGATTCTTTATTTTAGGTTGACAAAATATTACAGCATAATCCGCAAAAAATAGGTGGAAAATCTCAATATTCGAATTGCGTCTTCCTACACTAACCTCTTGAATTAATTTCAGATCTTTTGCCCTATTCAACAATCAGTTAAGGGCTTTCATGGTCAAAATGAACAACGGTGATAGGGGATCACCCTTTCTCAGGTCCCGTGATGCATTAAAAAAGTGTGACGGTTCTCCATTAATAAGGACCGCAAATGATGTTGTAATTATATAAATGTGTATCTATAACCTCCATTTGTGGCCAAAACCCATCCTACACAACATATAATCCACGAACTTCCAACTGGCATGATCATAAGCCTTCTCCATATCTAGTTTACATATCAAACCTTCTTTTTTTCTAGCCATCAAGTCATTCATCATCTCATTTGCCGTCATGACAACATCTAATATTTTGTCTCCCTTCCACAAATATATGTTGACTTTTCCCAATAATCTTTTCAAAAACCCTAGAAAGTCTTCTAGCCAAGACCTTTGCAATGAGTTTGTAAATGCACTCCACCAAACTTATTGGTCTAAATTCATTGAAGTTCTTGGCATCTTTCTTTTTGGGAATGAGAACAATAAAAGTGGAATTCAAGAATTTCACAAATTCATCGGTTTTGTGCAAGTCTCTTAACATCTCCATTACATCATCTTTTATCACATGCCAAAACTTTTGTAGAAACTTCGTGTTAAATCCATCCGGCCTCGGTACCTTCTCACAATTACCTAGAAATAAGGACTCTTTAATCTTGTATTCATTAAATTCCATCTCGATCATCTTCTTGCTACCCTCAAACAGAACCTTGAAGTTAATTCCATCAAGAGTGGGTCTCCTATCGAATTCTTCCTTATACAGATTTGAAAAGAAAACCTTGGTAGCATCTCTTAACTCCTGATTACCAACCACTTTTCTGTCATCAACCCATAATCTGCAATATAGTTGTTTCTCCTTCATTGATTGGCCCTGACATGGAAATACTTCGTGTTTTTATCTCATTCCAGAAGTTATTTCTCCCTGGACTTTTGTTTCCAGGATATTTCTTCTCCTTTTAGATGATTATACAACTTTGCTTTTAAATTATCCTTCCTATCCAACTCAGCCTCCTCCAAAAATCCCATACTCTCCTTCTGATCAATCTCATTAATAGAATTAAGCATACGATCCACTTCTTCCCCATCCTTCTTTCTTTTCTCCTTAGCCCATTCGTTAATCCATGTTTTCAAGGTTATCAGCTTATAAGCAATTCTGAAACTAGCTTTACCCTTCACCTTAGTGTTTCTCCATTTTTCTTCAACTATAGCACAAAATTCTTTATCAATCAGTCATTTGTTATCAATTCGGAATGGAATGGGACCCCATTATAGACCATCCATTTTTAAACATGTAGGATTATGATCTGAGATTGGCTGTTGAAGGGTTTTTTGCACAACACCCTAGAGTTTAATCAACATATTTAGGGATAGAGGAACCTGTCGATGTGCGAGCAGGCAGGTTGGTTTCTTAGGTTTGTCCAAGTCCAAGGTCTCCGAAACAGTGGTAAATCAGCCAGCTCCAAATTGTTAATCAGCTCTCTAAATACTTGCGATCCAAAATGTGAATTTATACCACCATTTCTCTCATCTCTCCTTAGGATCATGTTAAAATCACCTCCAACAATCCAATACTCACCCAGTTGCATTCTGCACGCTTCAAGTTCTCTCCCCAACATTTTTTTTTCTTGCCTATTCCCACGACAATAGACCTCAGTAAATGCCCACATAAAATCCCCAATACAGTTTCTGAAAACACAAGAGAGAGAGGTTTTCCCTTTTACCACATCAATACAATTTACTCTATCCTCCCTCTACATAACAATGATGTCCCCAGTAGTACCACTCGCAGGTATACTATACCAACCTTTCTCCTTTATCCGCAATAAATTGTTTATGCACTCCAAGAACAAGCCTCCATTTTAGACTTTTGCAAACACATAATATCCGGCTTCCACATATATCGATGGCCACTGATAGTAAGCCTCTTGTTTCTGCAATTTATTCCCTTCACATTCCATGAAATAATCTTACCTATCATTCATAAACAATGTACTCTTCCCCCATTGTTTCTAGCTTCGCTCTTCCTCCCTTAATAATTTACAGATGTTTCCAACCTCTTCAATTCCCTAGGAGTTCCATTAGTAGTTTTTTTCTTTCTCTTAGATGCCACTGTTCCCAGAACTTTTTTAGCAATTCTTCTTTTTTCTATTTAAGCAAAAAATAGGTAGGCTTGAGATTCTGTACCTTCAATTGATATCTCCATCATGCAGCTAAACTTCTGGATGTTATGAGTAATCCACTATGAGCAGTCCACCAGATACCCATTGACTAGGTTAATACCTTCCACACTCATGGCTAAAATTTCTTCCATTTCCGGGTTGATTGAGGATGTTATTGCCTTGGCCTTAACTTCATCTTCATGTAAAACCATTGGTAAACTGATGTCATCTCCATCACTGTCCTCCACCTCTGATTCCGCAATAGAAGATAGTCTGGCTATTACTTTATTTTCCTTTTCCTCTCCCATCATGCGTCTCAGTCGTTAGATCTTCACCTTCCTCTACCTTCCTCTTCGATTCCTCCTCTAGGGCATCCATAATTTTGAACTCTCTGTGTTTCTTCTGTGCTGGGCGAAATGATTTCCAAACACTTTAAACTGGATGATTTGCCCCGGGTTGGGTTAAAACTAACAGGCCGCATAATGTGATTTAAGCGATTTCCTCCATGATCTTCTTCAATTGGGCTGGGCTTTGCTATCCTCATTTCTTTTTCATCCCATGTATAACGTTTTCTGTCCAAATTCTCAACTCTATTGTTCTGTGTTTGGTAGGCCAAAGCACTGGCACCCTCCCTTCTTACCTTATGCTCTAAAAAAGCATTGGGCCTCCTAGATTTAGAGTTGGGCCGAACGTGGGTCACCCACTCTGCCAAGTGTGTTTGCCCTACCCGCTTCTCCTTTCAAACTAAGTTATTGATGATTGTCTTAGACCATATAGTGTTTTCTTTATCTGCATACTGTATTATTTTTCAGTTGTCCCTTGAAATCTAAAGAGATATCTATGTATCTCTTATTCCAAATTGTTGTGAACGAAAATATTCTTTATATTGAATTGTTTCAAATACTAATTAAAGTTAGCTGCTAAAGACAATAAATGTCTCTTAATAGTTTATACCACATATTTTTATGTATCCATTTCCCACAACTCTAGTCTTGTATCTTTTTAGTAAGCCATTTGACTTCTACTTCACTTTGAGTACCCACTTGCATCCTACATGTTTGTCAGTGGTAGATTAACGACTTTCCATGTTTAGTTCTTCTTTGGTATCAACATCTCTTTTCTTATAGTATTTTTTTTTCATTTCTTATTAGATAATGCTTTAAATAATGTATTAGGAATTTGAATGGTATTTAAATTGACTGAAATGTAAATATGAGAGTTTTTTAATGACATAAACTTCGTTAACAGATACAATGGATATTCAATCGATTCTCTTATACGATGGAAGATCTTATTAATATACTAGTTAGGGAGAAAGTCTGGTAATTGCTTTTACCTCATCTTTTGGATTTGGCGTTGGGTCTTAAACTTGCATATGGTCAGAATTCAGGTCTCTTCATCTTGAATATACTTGTGTAGATCTCATTGGATAACAAAATTAATTATTCTTTGTCACACGGATCTAATGTGGAAGGGTGAGGATGTTGATACAGACTCAGTTGATTCTACAAATGGTACAGATTAAACATATACAGGGTCGATTGTGTTGGTAGAGAAGTCAAGCAAAAACAAATTGTTGTCCTTATCTTTTGCTGATTACAAGGATTGCCCCTTGAAGATAGAGCATAATGAAAGAAGAGATTCTTTTCATCAAAAATGATTGTAATAGTAGGTGAATGGTTACACTTGTACTCTTTTTGAGTTGGTGATAGTTGACAAGTATACATTTATAGCTCTACGATCTAGTTTCTCATTCTAACTATGAACATGAATGAAAGGCAGCGCATCCAAAGACTCATTGTGAAATTTGGAAGCACATTGCTTCATCTAATTTGATTTTAAGAAGAAATATTTAAGAGATGCTAGTGTAATCATCAATAAAGGAGGCAAACTATTATGATCCAAATACATACATAACTGTAAAGGCTCAAATGTCATCATAGATCAAGTAAAATAAAATTGAGGTTCTTCAATTACTAATTAGAAATATCGCATGTTTGTGTTTTATAAATTCACACGTATTACAATGAAAATGGGATGAATTTGATTCGCAAAATATTTTTAATTTTTATTTTCTAAATTTTTATACATTTTATTAACAAAAACATCTAAATTTATTTTTAAAATGACGATGGTTTTTAAAAAATTTTAAATATTATTTTTAGTATTTTCTGGAAAACCTAATTCTTTTTGTGTTTGATTATTCCATAATGGCAAAATTTGTACATTTTTTTTTTATGAATAAACATGCATAAATATATTAATTTAAAAAACAAAAATTAAAAATTAATTAGGTTTGTAACAGCCCTGGAAATTTAAAATGGAATTTTATATTCAAAAATATCAAATGCGGAATCGAGGTCAAAATTTGAATAACATCCCTTACACTGAAACCGAAACGTGCTCACAAAATATAAAAGATTAAACTACCTAAAGGAGAAACTTGAAAGTAAAAACTACGAATGTGACTATGGAGTCTTTAGGCGTCTCCTTCATCGTCCTCCTGCGGAATCGGCTCGGGAACGATGTCCTCTTGATCTGAAATGATTAAATAAGGAATGAGCTACACTAGCCCAGTAAAGATATCACGATATCTCACCGTCACGGAGGTAAAGGTGGGTAGAAAACACAAAACGACCAATGGAGCATAATTTACAACAAATCATT